GTAAGTCGAGCGCCTCGCCCGCACCTTCCACAATGCGGGAGGACCCTCCATAAAAACCAGCTCGTTCCCAAGAGGCAAATTACAATAACTCACCGTGCAACCGCGGGCGCTAGTGCTAGGGTGATCGCCCTCGTTGCCAATGAAGCAACAAAGTGCCTCGGTCAACACGCCTCGATGACACTTCTTTCTGCTACTAGATGGGGGACCCTCCGTAAACCTTCGGGGGCCAGGGGGGGGGGAAGCAGACAGGGGCCCCCCCTCCGCCGCGCGCAACACGGCCACATGAGCCCACTGCTGCTACAGGTTGGGGCCCGCCATGAAAACCTCGGGCCAAGCGGAGTAGAAAGTGGGTCCCGGGCGCCAAACCCCCCCGGTCCGGAACGCCAGCAAGAGACCGAAGAACGGTCGTAAAAACGCCTCGTTACCAACCGTGCATGAGGCGCTGTTCTGCACATGTACCTCTTCTAGCCCCTACCAGTGAGTAGTGGACGGCCGAGAAGCGCTGGGAGGATGGGGGTGAGGAAGAGAGGAAGAGACGGGTTTTAAACAAAATACGGCTGGTCGGGGATTTTCTACCCCCGCACCCTCTGCACGCCTCTCGCTCCCCTCGTATGATGGCGTCGCTGCGGGGCCTGGAATGGGGCTCCGAACTCACTGGGTAACTACAATATCCGTATTAACGAGGGAACCCTTTACACGCAGTATACAATGTTACTCTTCATAACTGGGTCAATCGTATGAGACGAGAACTTTGCGTGTGGGTAGCTTTTCCTGATCACCACCACACCACTCAGGCTCACAATAAATGAATTGCGGCAATGTGATGAGTCATGGCCTCTCTCGATCACGAAACGAGATTAGTGAACCATCCTCCCATGGGGGGGGGGGAGTGACTTGGCTCTCCTTCTTGCTTGGGTTAGCTAGGGGGTACTACACACAGGTTCAGGCATGTGTAACATAGCAGAGACCAGTAATCAGTACCCAAGACCCAAAAGGCTGGGAATACTCACATGCCACTAGTTTCAGTGTCACTACTGATCATAAATGAAAAGCACCGGGGAAAAGGCAGCACCTGGCGAACTGCGCTGGCCGAGAACCGCAATTGATGGGCTGGGCCGAGGATGCGTTTACTCGGGTCTCCATCCGCTTGCAGCACACGGAGAGTCCACACTGGCTGCTACAGTAGTAATAGCATGCTGGAGGGATACACACCCTTCCGTTGTGACCTCTTTTCCTCCCATGTAAACGCAGATCAAGGCACATCGAGTCGGGGGAGCTAGGCTATGTAGGGGGGCTAGTGGCTGGTCACGTGCTTTTCGCACCAAACGTTGAACGCGTTTGTTATCAAAATCGCCATATTTAAATCAAGACAGGTAGCGCCGAACCCGTGGTGTAAGATGGTGGCGATCTTGTCTGCGGCGAGTGCCAAAACGGGAACGGACACACGACAACGACAAACAAACAAAACCAAGGACCGCACCCTCACTGCCCTGCGCGCCAAGGTTTACAACATCGGACCCCTCGACGTGCCAACAGTAGATACCATAAAATAAGAAACCGGTTGGGGGAGATATCAGGACGCAGCTTGACGAGCGAAGAATTATTGCCCTCACTGAGGGACTTCGGGCGACCGTAGTGGCAGAGGATCCCCACGGACTTGGGCACGCATGGTGGGAACGAGTCGGGGGGATGGTGAAACGATGGAACGGGATGCCCCGAGTGGGAGTGGGGACCGGCGGGAGAGTTGTGAATGGTGGTGATGAGCGGGGGGTTGGGCGGTGATAGAAGGGGGGGCGTTTGTGAGGGGAGCTGGGACGGGCTAGTCTCGCTAGAGGTTAGTCCACTAGGGGCCAACCACGGTCCGACGACCTGAAGGAGACTGAATGTAGGAGAGAGGAGAACGAAGGGAACCGTGGAAAAAACGCTTTATGCACGCATAGTGGTAAGTAATTACTAGTCCCAGGAAAGACACAAACAAAGAGACTTGTATAGTCCCACGGAGTGATATGAGATGAAAGTGGGTAACGGGTGTCGGTTATTTTTCATGCATCCCGATCGAACACAACGACTTATCAGCACACATGTGGGTAAAACAAAAACAGTACGGCCCACAAGGAGGCGAACCTCACTGTTGGCCCGGCTCTCTTGGACTCCTCACGACCCCTGCCAGGCCTTCATGTGTGCAAAAGGGAGGCTCCGGGCCCGAGTCGGCATCTCACTCCTCGAAAACCCGCTTGCCACCCGTTTCCCACATATCCGCACACATAGTAGGTACACCCTGCACTCACGGCCATAGGTCTAGGACGGCAAGGGTTTGCAACACTGGGGGCAACAAAGCACATAGCATAACAATTTAATAAGGTGTGGTTGCAAGCAGTGCTCCATAAGGAATAGACTAAAATATGCACTCTTTTGCAGCACGTCGAACACGCAAGGGGGAGGAGTTGGAAGGCAGCCATTGGGCAGACATATACGCAAGCAACGCTCGTGCCAAAGGGAGAGTGTGGGCAGTGCGTCAGCAGCGAAACAGAAAAACAACGCGACCTAGGACGACTGCTGCGCGCTGCGACGGGAGCCGGGCAGGATGGTGGCAATAGCGGCCCCTGAGAGCACCCCAGGTACCGGGCATCTTCCACCCACCCGCGCCCCAGGGGCCGTCTGAATCACTCAGGTCGCGAGAGACTCGGAGCTGCAGTGTTGTCAGGACAGAAGAACCACAGGAATGAGAGGTGGTTGAAAGGGGACAAAGGTAAGAGAGTCAATCAGTACTGTCCTGGCCCATAAAAACTTGGCCACAAACTGGATTAAAACCGATCCAACAAAGTAAGTAGGAGAACCGAAACTGAGCGCAGGATACACGAGGAAATAGAGGTTCCGGACAAAATCAACTGCAGTCTGAATGTGATAACGCGAAAGGGCAGACCTAAGAATTAGCAACTAAACGGATCGCCTTATCCTTGCTGGCTACACACATAGACAAGGCGCCTACTAGGAATCGGTACGCACGGTCCACAGAGACGGGTGGTGTACCTCGAGGCCCTCGTGTGGCACCATCCCCTCCACCAGCTCCATCACGTCACATGGAGACCGTGCTCTTCAGCCACTGGAACACCCACCACTCACATCAGATCAGCCCGACACGTCCCTCGTGCACGGTCAAACACACATCGAACATAAATAGAATCATGAAGATATACGCCCGACTAGCTGGGTGTCATAAGACAATGACACCATTAGTAATGGGACATTGCTCATGAATACGCCCCGAAGAGTTTGCCTATGCGCTGCATTTGTTATACGTGAGTGTCTATCTCCTTGACTGTTTGAGAGTATATGCACAAGCCCAAGACACAGTAAAGTACATCATGTACGGATCACCATCTGACTTTCATATTCTGACCACTACAATGTTAGGAATGTGGTCACAACAGACCCCTCAGCTACTGCAGTGTCATGTCTGAGTTTGACAGAACGGGCAGAAGACGTGGAGATTCACAGTATAATATACTATAGTAATTTGTATGCTCAGATAGGATCATGCTGCAAACCCAAAAGAATGCTTTCCAGTTATGCAGTATATGTAGTCGTAACTGTCTGCAGTGACAAATGACCTACGAGTCTCAAGCACAGACCCTCAAGCAATGTTAGCTACACGCCCCTAGGACATAATGGTAGCACATAGGTTGCTATACTAAACATCCTGGAAAAAGTTTTTAGACCGACCTGGTGATGTGGTAGGTTGAGGTGAGAGGCTAGTGTCCGGGCAGTCTCTGGAGAGAGACGGACACCCCGCAGTTTCTTCACCGCAGCTCTCAGAGCTGGTGAGAGACAGAGAGACAGATGGAACAGGGTGGGAAGAAGACATTAGAGCAAGCATATAGGGTGTGTGAATAAGTGTGAGATATGTGCCTTAGTCAGCATTTCAACTACTATGAATTAATGCCTGCACTGTTCCCTATGCAAATTAGTTTAACTCACGAATGGCCTGAGCCTCGGTTCCATTAGTCAGGCCTTCCAGTCTGCCACCGGAGCTGTCCTCTGTCACTCCATACTCCTGAACTGTATAACAGTCACGAACATTGAACAACAATTACAATTGGTACTGACATTAAAATAAAAGAGGGATTAACCAAATGAGGACAGAGACTTCATAGCTATATTTCAGGTCAACCCTCAATTTAACTCTCCGAAAAAATGCATAACAAAACTACATATCCATAAAAATAAAAGTTCATCGAAATTACGGCACTATGCATTAGTCTCACCAATCTCCCTGAGCTCCCTGGCCAGCTGGTAGTGAGCCGGGAGCCCTTTCTTTCTCTCAGAGGAGGTCAGGAGTGAGAGATACAGGGAAGCCAGTCCATAGGAACCCTTGTACATGAGGTATTCCATCAGCCGCACGGCCTGCTCCTCTGCCTCCAGACTCCCACTCCTCAGGTGACTGTACTCCGTGTCTGTGAGGGCCTTCAACTTTCTGAGGGGTGCGAGGAGGTCGGACACGCGGATGGAGCTTCGAGCTCGGGGCATGATGCGTGCCGAGATCTGATCAAGCTGCTCATCATTGAGCTCTTTATAGCCTGGAATAAAGTATTGACGGGTTCGACACACTCATCAAGACCTCTCATAGTGAACTATGGTTAGTTATGTGTGTATAGAGGTGACCCTGGGGGTGATTTTCTCAAGCAACAACAGCTGAATCGAGCTGAATTATATGTACAACTCATACTTCCATCAAGGATCATACGTTGTGCCAGTGTTATTGTCCAAAATAATAGCTAGATGCTACGGCTGAGAGGATCGCTAATCGATCGCCTGCTGTACACTTACTTCCATCGAAGAGATCTCCACCAAAGAACTCCTTGAGCGACATCCGCTCGTCCTCTGTGAAGGGGTGGGTATAGTAGTAGTACCCAGACTCAGTCATCGCCAGTAGATCGGCACACACAGCATGGACAATCAGCTTCGGTACGGCAAGACAACCATTGCTGCTCAGTGATATTAGCGCTTACGTAATTCTTGGGCTATAGTTAATAGGGAGAACCCCAGGGAAAAGCCCGCACATCCGCACTATATATCTAATAGCCGCCAAGACAAACAAACAAATTTCATCAGCTATAGAACTAGCTGTGGACTGTTCCGCTGGACTTGTGGTGATCGAAGAGTAAGTCCAGGGGACTGCAGTCGCCTGAGGATTATGTCGCTAGCCGTCAGTTGCTGGCAGGACACCAGGGCATCTCTCAGCTCCATAAAAGTCCTCTTACTCTCACCCCCTCCTCCTTCCCCCAGCCAGAACTTTAACATCTGTTGGTGTGGGATAAAGCCATAGGATTACAAATCAGTGTAATACTACACTTTATCATGGGAAAGCTATGACCACACCTTGCTACACAACTTGCAATATTTACACTTTACTACCATTTTCAGCTGACACACCACAGTACCTGGTAATATCTCTCCTCCTGCATTGTTGAGTCATTTGTAATCTGTCTAACTCTATCCAGGGGAACGTTTAGCCTCTGAGCAAAGTCATTCATTACAGAGACACTGGGAGGCAATCTCTGACAGACATCTAGTATGGCATACTTATGCTTGATGAAAGACATGTCTATTATGGAGTTCAGAAGGTGATGGTCATCCGATCGTTCAGTGGATGATGTCGAGCTAAGAGTGGGGCCTGAATAGGGGTGGGTACAACAATTTACTACATGATGAGTAAGCGTCATATCAAAATTCACAGTCACCTTTGAACTTCCAAGAATGAGAAAACAGGATGAATAGGTACGTACACATACTCACTGCTGCGGGATCCAAATTTTGGGACTTGCTGCTCTTGCTGCATTGCCTAAGAGAAAAGCAACAGCTTTGGCTTTTCGGCATTGAACACACATAAAAATGGAAGATCCTTAGCCCCATAAACTAACAGCGGTGATAGCGGAAGGGCGATGAGAAGGCAGTAAGTTTGACAATTCTGCATCACTACCTCCTTCTTCAGTATTCGCATCAGTGTGTGCCTCGACTGTTGAGCTAGGACTAGGAGTGTCTGGTGAGAATGCTGGAAGGGTGCTCCCTGTGTCAACTGTGGTGTGATGAGCGAGTTGTGATGGGGAGTGTTTCAGTGGGTGACCCTCTGCACTGGTACTAGCAGTGGGCTCATGGGATGAAGTAGTGGGTGGTTGTGGCACAGTCAGGGATATTCCTGTCAGGATATTTCATTTTCATTGTAAACCAGTTCATAAAATAAACTCTCACCACGACTCTTTGCCAACTCTCCTGCTCTCTCGTCAAACCCTTTTACTGTCTTGAATGCTGCTAGAAGTTGAGTCATGACTTCCATCTCAGGGACATCCGATCCAAGCCCATTCTGCCATAACCTATACAGTGAACAGTAGCAGTTACACTAATCATAGTGCTATTGCATCATTCACCCCGGTGTTTGCTCCACCTACACGGCAGCTCAGAGTTCATTTACCTAATCGTGTCTCGGGTGCAGTTGGCTTCTTGTTCATTTTTCTCCACGTCTTTGTGCTTCGCGCAGAGTTTGTAGCGCTCCCTATAGTCCAGTCGTAACCTGAACAATAGCTGCACCCATTTCGGCCCGATTTCACCTGCTATCTGCTCCGTTAGCTCCTCCATCTTAGACACTGGGAAAATTCTCGTGAAAAATTGAGGAACTCCGACCGACACGCCCAGTAAACAACACAACACCGCTCGTGATCTGCGTGCTCGTGGGGGTAGGGTATCGATATCTCTCACTAGTGCCGGAGTTTCCAGTGAAGCTGGGGCGGCGTGGGAATGGACGTTAAGGACGCTACTCTGGATCCCAAGTGGGACCAAGAAAGACTTGGGTGGCTAGTCGAACCTCTGGAACAATACGGTACTGCCTTTTTTCTCATCCACGTGCTAGTGAATAGGTATAATACAGTGCGCAGACCGTCCCCGTACTACCACCTGATATCTCTGGTCTATACAACTGTATGCAGGTGCAAGAATATGCAGAGGTGTCATCCAAGAGATTTGTACCAACCTGGCCGGATGCAAATGCGTACAAAACCTTGCCATAAACCTTTACCACAAAAAAGTCATTGGTGATTCGGATTTCCACCAGCTTCAACTGCCAACAGCCACTGGGCCGAATCTGAGTGCTGTGCTAGTCAGAGCAAGTCAGGAGAAGGAAGGACGGGGACCACGTCTCATCAGAGATCTCTACCTAGCGCTGCTGGATATGTTTGCAAGGAACTGCGATCAGTGGTGTTATCGCATAGCACTTTACACACTCCGACCATCTGGTATGAATGCATGTTTAGGCTATACCTACGTGTGCTACTCTCTACTTCTACAGTGATCAAACACTTAACGCCCCTGGTTCAAGTTCCATCTGATCAAATAGGTACATTCAGTTGTGAATGTGTTGACACACATTTCTACCAGAATTTCTGCAAAACCCCTTGTTTTCTGCTACTAAGTTAATTCACCTATGAGGGTATCCTAAGGTTAATTCCCATTGAGTCGAGATAATTTTGCACTTGGCACACGTGCACTGGTCCACCAGGAACCACTAAACAAAGTTAGTCCCTACACTTTCTCTCAAAAGTTCCCCACAATACAATAAGTGGGCATAACCTTTCCTATAATAGTTCTCTTAATCTTTCAGACAAGCAGCGTCTGGTGGCAAATTTCCCCAATGCCACATTGGAAAGCGCAAGAGCAGCTCAATTACGTCATCAACTCGGCATACCCAGCAGTGGTGCAGAAATCACAAGTCTCAAGCGCATCCTAGAGATGTACATGGTCACAGTTCCTGAGGGTACAAATCCAGATGAATGGTTAGTGTGTCTTGTAAAGGCAATGATGTTGACTGAAGGTGTCGGACGTCATGTCTCCAAACTACTCCCATTTCGTAAGACAGATTATTGTAGTATAATACCTCCCATCAATGACTCTTTTTCAGACAAGTCCTATCCAGTGGAGCTGTTGATATTTCTGGAGAGGCTTCACCATCACTGGGAGAAATTTGCTTTCTTTCTGGGCTTCACAGTTGACGAAGTGGATGCTATACAAGGCAGTGAAAGTTGTATAGGGTGCTTTCAGAGAGTCTGGCGAATGCCAGATCTAAAACGACACCACAATGAAGAAATTCTTTATCTTACCCTCCAAAAAGCTGATATCAGACTGGGTATGTACCTTTTTCCTTACTGGTATATACTACCGTATTTCCTCGATCAGTAGCCGCGGCTACTATTTTTTTCAGCGCCACTAACCCGCGGCGCCTATTCGAGGGCGGCGTTTAGCACGGCGCACGCTAGCTTCGCGGAGCCACGCCTTCTCCCGAGAGGCGCATAGTCAATGACCTTCAGCTTACACGATGCGTCAAAGCTCCTCTTCTTTCTGGCTGTAGCCTAGCCTCTGCCATCTCATGCATGCAGGCAGCTGGCTGCTAGCTAGGCGCCTAACGTCATGTCAACGTTTGGCGTCACGTGATTGTACGCATGCGCATTTCTCTATGAATATTAAATACGGCTACTATTCGAGGGCGGCCACTATTACACGTTACGTGCGGCGTCTATTCGAGGGCGGCTACTATTCGAAGTGCGGCGTTTATTCGAGGAAATACGGTATCTATCTCTGTCGTTTACCAAGTTATTTATGTTTGTAGGTGAAACTGGTACACCGCTACAGGGAGTAAGCGTTCATGTTGAAGTGTAAGGACAATAGAGTAATGGACAAGTCCCATACTGGAAAACTGTAAACCATGCACAGATTAATGGCTGTCTATGCACTCCATTTTGAAACTGGAGTATATACTCTAGACATTACACTTGTACCACACATTCACTGGTTTACAGTTTATCTCTGTTATATATGCAGTAACGGGGAAACTGTCGCTTCTGCCCACATTTCTAGCCCTGCCATTGCCCAGCGTGGGTCATTAAAGAAGGTGGGTTACTTTCACATACCATATCAATTGACTCTATAGACTATATTATGTACATACAGGTAGTTGATCGCCGCCATCGTTACAGTGAACAGAAGAGGTTGGCATTCATTTCACGCATAACTAATTTGCATTTTCTTCTGCATGATCTAGTAACTCCAGTGGCTACGGTAGTATTGAGGGTACCGCAGTTCAATACAGCAGGTTAAACGATTAAACTTTGATAATTAATGAGAGATAATTGGATAATATTGATGCAGGTTCAGCAGTCAGCAGACTACTGCTGATAATGACGATACGGCAAGCCAAGTCTCTCTACCGCAAGTTAGGTAAGATGGACACTGCAAATATCGAAACCTGTCTCTTTATAATTATAGAACTGTTGCTCAATATAGGAATGACGGCAACATAAGCAAGGAGAATGACTCGGAAGAGCATCTGTCCTCACCAATTGCAGGGTCTTTTCCTCCATTACCAGCCCATTTTCCCAGCGAGGAGCCCTCTCCAAGTTTTAGTAGCCTACAGCGACCCGTATCACTGCAACTTACACAAGCCAAGCATTCAGAGACAGAGTCGTTGAGTTCCCCTCAAGTCGTCCCCGAACCCCCCTCGTTCCAGCCAGATGACGAGGTCACCTTTTCGTCTACTTCTTCTGAAAGCCTTGGGATGGGATTGTACGGGGAGGTTTTGGTGGTACAGCACGGCGGTCGAAAATACGCCGCAAAAGAGTACTGCAGACGATTTGTCGCTCCAGAGGACCTGAAAAAGAAGTTCAACGCAAGCATTCTCAGACTTAACCATCCAAACATTGTGTCGTTGCTTGGGGTGTATAAAATCAGGGGCACGGATCGCTCAGTTGTGGTCATGGAGAAATTTCCCCAGAGTCTGGAGTCGGTTTGTGAAGATGAAAGAGTTGAACTTGAGCCAAGAAGAAAGCTCTCGATCCTTAGTCACATAGCAGATGGTTTGGCCTACCTTCACCTCCACGACGTAACACACGGCGATCTTATCCCATCCAATGTACTGCTGACAGTGCCAGACTACACGGCTAGAATATCAGACTATGGAAATTCCCTGGTGAGGCCCATTTCAACAGCATGTACCGAGGGGCGTCAAGATCGCACTAACTTGTGTGACTATCTACCTCCTGAAGCTCATGAGGGAGAAATAACCGATAAAGTGGATGTGTTTGCTTTTGGGCACTTATCACTGTACGTAGTTCTGCGGACAAAACCACACCCACTCAAAAATCAAATATACCGTCTCAACAGAAAGTTAGTGCCGAGAACAGAAGTTGAACGAAGAAAAGACTACTTTGATGAGATGTGTACCAAGGCCACAGGTGTGCTAGCGCCACTCTTTGATTGGACGAAGATGTGTCTTGCTGATGAAGCAAACGAAAGGCCACAAATGAAAAACTTTACCAGTCACTGTTCTCTATACCACAGAATCAATTAGTATTTCAAGACTTTGTTAGGCTTCGCGCCTGCGCTTTCGCGTGCTTGTGTTGGTGGTGGCGACCGCTCCGCCCCGCTAAGGTTTATTTTCAGTCTCTGCATGCTCGGGCCAGTCTGCTGGGAGCGTGACTAGGGGTGGGCTACATCCGGCTACCTCCTTGGAATCAGCACAACGACATGGCCGCAGCAGGCCGGGAGGTATGTTCGTCTAAATAAAGTCTCCCAAGCCAGACCCACACGCGATCGCGAGCGCCGGGCTTCTCTTAGTGCGGGGTGTGTGTGTGTGTGGCAATCGGCAATTCAGGGAACCCTTGGCCACAGGCCGGCTGCGGCTTTGCGTAGTACATACCGTGTTTTGTGTCGTGTAAAGGGAAGTTTTGGAGCGGATGACGGAGATACAGATTGCTCATCAGAGGGCGCCGATTTGCCTGAGCTCACCGGGCAGACCAGGTTAGCAACACCGTGAGTGTTGTTGACGGTCATCCTTAACTATGGCTCTCTTTACAGTCGGCAAATTAGTGATGTGGACACCATGAGCCAGGAATCTTCATACAAGAGGTATAACATTATGTTCTGCTACTGTATCATGTACTGTACACAAACCCTACTTTCACAATTCAGGGAAAATGCATGTATCTACCTTCCCCAAACTTTGGTGATAAAACTTGTGGTTGAGTCCCATATTTTTTTCTCTATGTGGTGTTAGTGTTACTCTATAATATTACTCAGGCAAGTCAGTTCGTTACCAGGCGATACTGCGTCTCCACTGGACTCACCAGTTGTAATGAATCCTAATGAACTGTCTCCATCACCTTCGTCTATGAAAGCCGGACACCTGTTGGCACATCCCACCCCATCGTCAGACCCCAACTTGACTCACCCTTCATCGTCATCCTCGTCACATTCCACACCACCAACATCAGCATCACGTTACCAGCCATTTTTATCACCCACATCACCTCTCCCCACCTCACCTTACCTGGACCCCACCTTAGTAGAACCAGTGGAAGCATCACCAGATCCAGTTTCACCCAACAGATCACCACACCCCACATCTAGGCCCCTCGAGGAACCATCACAGCTCGTAACACAAGTTCTGGTCTCTCCTCCTTTAAGCTGCGCACATCTGACATCAGAGCCACGACAGGTTAGCTACCTTGTTTTTGTATGTACAATGTGCCTATTACTCTTTTTCCCTTGCAGAAAAATCGAGGGCCATTTCTTCAGGAGAACAAAGTCGTGTTTGTTCCATGCAAATGTATGGGGGCGGGGTTTTATGGGGAGGTGTGGGAAGTCAAACACAATGGTAAAAGTTACGCAGTGAAGAAATACAACAAACCAGTCACCCCTCCCATTCTAGCAAAATTAGTGGCTCTAACTAAACTGAACGATGAAAATGTAATGGCATATTGTGGAATAGGCTCTTTGAAAAACAAATGTGATACCGTTGTGGTAATGGAAAAAGCAGACCAGAATCTGTCATCCTTCATAGAAAGGAACACCGAACTCGAGCTCCAGAAGAAGTTGATGATTCTTACCGGTATTGCAAATGGCTTGGTCTATCTTCACTCAAAAGAAATTGTTCACTGTGACTTAAAGCCATCAAACGTATTGATAATACCGGAGACTACAACGGCAAAGATTTCCGACTATGGCAACGCACTCGTGAAACCAATTTCAACAGTGTGTGCTGATTGTCGCACGGAAGAAACGATTTTTCGCGACTACTTCCCTCCAGAGGCTCAACTAACAGAAACACACAAGCCATCATTTGATGTATTCTCATTCGGCCACCTGTCACTGTATGTTGTATTGCAGGAACAACCACACTCATTACTGAAGAGTCGCAAGTGTCCCAATAAAACTGCAAGGACGGAGGTACAGCGTCGAGAAGAATACCTCAATAAAATGAAAATAAAAGTCAGCAGTCGTATGCTAGATTGGACAAATCAATGTCTGCATGACGAAGAAGAAGAAAGACCACAGATGGCAGACTTTAAACATATTTTTCCTTCTACTTGAACTTTTTGTACTGCCTTACGTTACATGGCTGCAATATTTGTGCAATTTTCAACAGTTGCGTAGTGCTGCGTAATGCAATAAACTATGCATGCATACGAATTGTTGCAGGTTTCACGAACGGTAAATCTTGCTTCAACTTGCAGATCCTTGGACATCTAGTCCAGTGAACACTTTTGCTGCACATAGTATAGTTGGCAGCAAAAAATGTCCATGTTCGCATACTGCTCACGGTTTAGTACTTTCAAACTTAATGTAGCTATTATATATACACTTATACATACAAAAATAATTCTCCTAATTTTGGTACTCTTCTAGTTTTTGGATACATTCTAAAGCGTTTTTGCAGGAAGGCCTAGAATCTGGATCATCATTGAGACAGTTAATGATAAGAGTGTAAAGCAAGTGAGTCTCGTCACAGCATAATTTCGATTTTACTTCTTTTAGGTACAATTTGCGTCGTTCAACTTCTGTGCGAGGAGTTAGTTTACCAGCTTCCTTGTATGTGTGCCTTAGAAGTGGGTGTGGTCGACGTTGAAGGATTACGTGTATGGCAAGATGACCAAACGAAAAATTGTCCAGCTTGACTGTGTATTCGCCACCTTCAAGCGCTTCAGGGGGCATGTAGTCAAGGGTGCCAGGATTAGAGGTCAAAATTTCAGGGGTTGCCCGCAGATCAACCATTCGGGAGTTTCCAAAATCGCTGATTTTTGCAACTCCCTCACTGTTCAAAAGCACGTTTCCCGCCGTGAGATCCCGGTGAATGATAGCCGGAGTTTGCTCGTGGAGGTGCTGCAGCCCACTGGCAACATCGGTCAGAAGTTTGAGTTTAACAGCAAGAGCAATGTCTGCTTTCTCTTTCAGCAATGTAAGCACGTTCTTTTCCATTCTTTCCATCACTATGACTGTCGATTTGTCAGTGGCTAATTTGCATATGCCGTGATAGGGCACAACGTTGGGATGTCGAATTCGTGCCAAGATATCGTGCTCTCGACTAAATGCTCCGAGTGTGGCATTTCCAAAAGACGCCATTCGATATTTCTTAGCAGCGTAAACCACTCCTTTGTATTCGACCTCCAGTACAACACCGTAGGCACCTTGCCCCAGCACAACTCCAGTTGGGTAAACCAAAGCATTAGGAAGATAGTCTACACCTATCATAAACACATTAAGGTCAGCTATGAGTATGTTCATAATATTGCAAACCAGCATTTTTTGATGTAGGTGAAGCTCCACTGCTCCCTGTGGGAGCAACAGCCGACTCTAGCAAGGAAAAATTAGCAGACTCTGGTGAGGCTAAATACGTATATATATACATCTCCAAAAAAGGTTCACCACCCAAGGCCAGTAAATAACTATTCTCACATACCAGGTGCATGACTGTCTACAGATGCAGGTGAGGGTCCATCATCTGTAGGTATGTCAGCAGACTCTGAAATAGGGGCTGCTGGACAATAGAGTAGTTATGACACACCCACACATGAAGATGTGGCTTACTAGACTGAGGAGCCATCTCTGTATGATGTGTAGGAGGAGTAACTGGTGCTGCATATGGATGACTATGTCAAACGGCGAGTGCGTCTATGTGCTCGCAATGGACCAATTCTCGCTATAACATGCGTAAGTACATGTATGTCACGCTTAGGAATCGCCCATAGAAGTATAACTTGCCAGTGCTTACATGCTTCCATTACTCCAGTCACTCGTAAGAAGTTTGAATTTCGGTGTGTGTGAGAAGCTACTTTATGCCTGGGAAACTACAATTTGTGGAGAATGCACGAAGTTTACATACAACAAATAGAGCCAAGCATAGACTTTGTGCACAAGCATGCATGCATGGGCTGTTGGTCGGCGCAAGGCAAAGTATGCACATGTGCATTCCTCAGTACTTTCACTACGGTATCTGGTGTGAGTGTGACTACTTACAGTCATATTCTGCCGGTCCGCCAAGTTTAGTATTGATTCCTTCAACTCCAACTCCGCTAACCACTCTGGGTCTTGCTGTATCTGCAGCAGCAAACGGTAAAACCAAAAGTCCAATTCATTCTTGCCAACCTGTAATATGCACCCTTTGACCATCCTGAGCACTGAGTGGAGGATCTATACAGCGGGACAACATGCAGTAGGCGCAATACAAGAAAACTGTCGCAACATTAAAAATAATACTCAGGTGGCTGCCATACAAAAAGTACATAAAATAATGGTGTCCGCGTGCCATGCTCTTCTGCCGGTTGCATTAACGAAACTAAAAATAACGGCAACTTACCATCAGTGTGGCTCTGAGACAGTCTTGTGTTGTTATCCACATTCTCCACAGCCTTAAGAACACCCTCGGACTTTTCTACAGGCATAGTTTGGTTCCCTTTCCCATCGTCACTGGTCTTGTGCTCTGGCAATGGAGTCTCTGGACACACATTCACACTGGACATAATTGTGATGGTGTTACAAGCGAAAAAACGTACCCTTCAAGTTTGCCAACATGTCCTTTCCCATCCGGGTACGCGAGTCATGAGCTACACATAATATATTGTTAATGACTCAGCATATGAATGCGCACATATCTACACATACATGGCTCAGAAGCTTGTTGTTGACGTTGTGGCTCTACCGGCTCCTTCAATTTATGGTAGGTTTCTAAAAAGCCATAAATTTGGATCAGGGCTCCGGTAGTTATTGCAGGGTTTTAAACCTGTTCCACTCTGTGTGTCGGCCTGTGGGGAAGTCCTGGGAGTAAATCTTCCACTGAAAAGCTGTTTCAGCATCGAATCAACTGATAACAAAAAGAGCAGTTTCAGTTGTAAACCATGTCAACCTGGACTATATTGTGCACATACCAGTACTTGGAAGGTCAGCCCCTCCACTCATCTGTTAATTAATGATTCATTGCTAATATCAAAACGATAAGTAACATTAATAGACTCATACGTGTTGAAAGGTCCAAACAAGGTCTTTGTAAAAGGCATCATAATCATCAGGACGAAACTTGAACACCTCAACCACAAATACTTCCTACACAGCATACGGGTCGTAAAACTCTGATAATAGAGAGTTGGTATTGTACATAAAAGGATACTTACCATGGTAAGAATGTTGTTTTCAATAAAAAATCGCAGTGGAGAGCGATCACCCAGGAGAAAGTTTTGCCTCAGTTCTTGATCCGACTTTAGTTTGATATCAGACCACAGACATGAAAACAGTTGAAATCCAGGAACTTACCATTGAACCCGACAGTTTTTGGCGAAGAAAAATTGCAACAGGCACGTTTCCAGTGGCTTCGGCTCCCTCTATCAGACTCTCTGGCTGCAAATAATAAGCCATGGCATCACACAGAGACAGAGAGCTGCATGCCAGGATAGTACTACTTATGTTTACTTGTATGTCAGGATTATTCAAGATGGCAGACATGCAGATCCTGGAAAAGTCTGTCAGGACAGAGTTTATCTTCTCCTGGTCTCCTGGACCAAGTCTCATCTGCCTGCTGGCTGGAGCCTGTAATGGCAAAACCTTAGCTAAAGCTCCGTATATAATAATGCTAACTTATACACACAAACCATGAGCTCTTGTTGCACGGAGCCGACCTAAAAGTGAGATTGAGACACAACTGGATTGAACAGACGTAAAACTATACCTCTGCAAGTTCAGGGTGATTCACTGCCTGCATGTACATCATAATGTTTTCCACCAGCATATCCATGCGGTCGTTTTGGGCTTGCATCACTGCCACTTGCTACATTTTATAATAAATGGATATTCAAGAGACTGTAGTGCAGCTTACTGGTCCACCAAAAAGCTCGAGCAGCTTTTCAGTGTAGTAGTATTTCTCTGTCCTCACAGAGGTGACAATGACTGGCGTTAGCTGCAGTATAGTGCCACATAAAGCCAGTATATTGAATAACCAGCTAACTCACGTACCCCAGCCAGTGTCTTGACGAGGTTTGGGCTGTCCAAGAGCAGATGAAATGTATCAATGTGGTCACCAAGGATTGCGAATGCTATTGCTGGCAGTGTGTCCTAAACAAGGGCTCACTTATAAAACATCACACAGAGGAGATGTGCTGAAACGTACAGAGCAGAGGTAATTGATATTGGCTCCATTGTTGAGGAGCAGGGTGACCATGGCATTCAGTCCTTTGCCAGCTGCTTGGGATAGTGGAGTTACTTCGACTGTACCTTCCACTGCCCCTGGTTGGAACTGAAACGTAGTACAAATTCCATGGTAATCTGAAACATGCAACGGGTGAAGGGGTATGGGGAAATATTTGGGGGACTTCCATCCTCCCCAATATTCACCCCATACACGTAGCATGCAAACAGCGGTCAGTAGTTTGTCTTGTGAACTTACTCTCACAGCATTCACAGAAGCTCCCTTCTTGATGAGTTCAGAAGCAATTCTGTATTCGTTTGCTGTCACAGCTAAAAAGAGCGGACTTGTGCAATCCTGAATGCAATGCAGCAGAGGTTAGTAGTACCACACCCAAAAATTGTCCTGTACATACTTACACTTGCCACACACTTGTTGACGTCAGCTCCCTCGTTCATGAGCACTTGGGCCACACCCCAGTGATTGCTGGTGCACGCTTGAAGCAGAGCAGTGTACCCATTCTGCAACTACAGGTTGCACAAAACAAAAATTATAAGTAAATTAACATCACTTTGTCCACATACCTTGCCAGTAGCATCAATGTCTGCTCTGTATCTTAGCAGCATATTGACTAGTCCCACGTGACCCTGAGCACTGGCCTCCACCAGAGGACGATGCCTTCCCTATAGCATTAACATGAACACACACATGAGTAAGGCTGGGTTCATCGCATTGCCCCGTTGCGTCTTGCCGCGTCGTGTTGTAGCGGGAAAATAGAAATGGATTCTATCCTTGCGACACGGCGAGGCACGATGGGGCAATGCCACAATTGACACCAACATGTAACTAACATTTTCACAGCCATTTGGGTTGGCACCATACTTCAGGAGCAGCTCAGCTGAGGCGAAGGCTCCACACTTACAGGCAGTAGATAGAGGGGAACACCCAGTTACCTAGTAGAGGAGTAATGTTAGCATAACATAACATAACACTGAAAATGGTGCACCTATTCATTGCCATATGATTTTGGTGATTTAGAGATGCAATAACTTACCAGAGACTCTACATCAACTGATACTCTCAGTTTCTGATACTCTCTCAGGATATGCTCGAGAATTGCCCGATTTCTAAGTGTCTCGGTGTAGTTGAGGCAAGCCTCGCCTCTCTGGGTGAAACGAATGGATCAACAGTAGTCTAGTTTGTCAGATGGTCTTACCACATCCACAGCTTGAACATCAGCCCCATAGTCAATGAGCAGATTGACTATTTTCTCTTTCCCCCGGATGCACGCTAGCATTAGTGGAGTCCTCCCATCCTATGTATGTACATGAGTGGTAACATAAGAGTAACTCCAAGCTGCATACACAAGCTACTGTATATTTAAGCTAACATTTATAGTGTCATTATACACTTACATCACTGCGGGCACCCAAGAAGCTCCCTGCCTTTACAACAGCTTCAGCTTTTCCCCAGTCATTGTCCAGACAAGCTTTGAGCAGAGCAAGCCCTTTGTCCTATACCACGTACGTTTCGAGCTAGCAGCAATACTGTACAGCTACACTGTAAGGGTACATACCCAGTGACTGATTTGCACATGAATCGGATCATTGAAGATTTTCAGGGTGCTGTGGAGCACTGCAGGAAGTAGACAAGTAGTCATGTGTCATACAGTGTGCTCACTTTAACCAACGTTGATTGAGAAGGCCCACTGTCTCCTCAGTCCCACAGTCTGGCATCCACCACACCCTCATGAACATTTGTATCTGATGATGGGGGTCTCCCCCTCCAGCTCTGGCTATGGCACCAATCTCCACCTCAGAGTAGCCCAGGTAGACTGCCAGTCTAATCCAGTTCTGACCCAGTGTCTGTAGCACCTCATACACCCACGGTGGGTTGCTGTGGCCTGTGATGTGTCATTTATTCGCACGAATCATTGACACACAAATTTCGAGATGCACAATACTTCCTCAGGTAGTCCTATTCTGTAAAACTTATACTCTATGAATATTTTAAGCACCTTTAGTATACATAATTATGGTACATAGGAAAATGCATCAGTTTACACAAGGGCCCTTAAAAGGGATAACTTACAGTAGGGTAAGAGCAGGCTGAGGTATCGGCCAGTGTTTCGAGTGAGCAGAAGAGCTGACACCAGCTTGTGAAATGAAACTCTGGTGCTGAAAGCAATCTGGATGATCTTCTTGAGATCTGTGAGAGTGCCATAGCTGCTCAGCCCAAGCTCGTCAGTCAATCTCGCCGCATCCACTTCTGGTAGGTTTGTAGATGGAACCTTTTGCACCATGACTGCCAAATCTGTAAGCAAAGGAAGAACTAGTGAGGGTGTAGGTGAATCAGTTAAAACAATAATAATCTAGAAGAGCACGTTACTCAATTGCATATCAAGGCTCACAGCATAATAATATACTACAGTAGTTGTACATACCATAGAAATTGACGTCCTCTAGTTCCAATTCGAGTCTCACTGCAAGCAAGATTGAAATTGATCGGACACATACACACATGCACTACACCACACCTGCAGGTCTAAGTCCACTGACAGCCATGCCGTGACACCACACACTCCCAGACTCCTCATAGCAGTCCAGGAGAGCCAGGTAGATACCCTCAATTATACCTCTCTGGTTTCCTTGCTCACGAGACCTTGCATTCAAAAACTTGCTTAGGTTGCTTGCGGCCTCGCCCTCCGACCGACTCAGGATATGTGACCTCACTTTACTGGCCACCACACCACATTTTTCGAGATATGGTAACAGCTGCTCCACACAATTGCATTGCAGGATGTATGAAGATATGGCTGCCATCACTCGGAGTGCATAGTCCTTGCCTGGAGAGACGGGTAGGGGGGCCAGTGTATATACATACCCGAATCTTGTCACCGATCCTTTGTTCGGCACGTAAGTACTGACGACTGCTGCGCCAGTGCGGCAGATCTGAAATGGCTCACCATGGCTTGCTCTTCCTGAGCGGACATCTTCCAGCCGCAAAAGATCCCACTGGCCCTCCTCAGCGACCTGCTTAGTAGTGGACTCCATATTAATATTTTTCCCGGCCCAAGTCCCACCTTTAGCCCCACCCCCATGAGCTGCGCGCATGCGCCGCTCAGCAATTGCTGTGCATTATATAGCATAATTGCAGGGTCGTCTAGGCCGAGGTCTAGGCTGACATCTATGCTGTTTCGAAGCCCAACGATCATCTAAGGTGTGAGTTTTGGTATCCGTATGCCTTTATAATCGGCATACAATCTCAGGGGTTGCCATGTCAGATGAAAAGGAGAGTTCGCCCCCCTCAGAACACCCAACCTCAAAAGATCCCGTGGAGGCGTCGTTGGTTGCCAATTCGCGATGCAGCTTGGTACCAGTGTCACCTCATTTTTCTGGCTCATCCTCGGTTGGCTCTACCCCACCTTCCTCATCCGATCCTAAGTCCACATCTCTTGAACCTGTACAGCCATCATCCTCCGGAAGCGGAAGTGGGGTAGGTGGGAATATAGTAATTAGCAAGCAATTCTTTTATATTTGATGCTGAATGGTCCACTGGTTGAGGGAGTGTACTGTAAGTCCGCATGATGGACAGATTGTAGGGCATGCATGGCTGTGTTGGTGTCCCAAAACAATTACCAACCCCATGCATTTTCCTTTGTGTGTCAAAGTATTACTCCTGCATATTTTTTACTACCATTCCCCTCCGAAATACACTCTCGAGTAATGAAATAGGAATGTTTTACTCGCTTAAGTTTTATCCATGCAAGTTTAATGAAAAGCACTAAAGTGCAAACTCTTGGCGAACTGCGCATACGCGGTACCGCTAATTGATGGGCTGGGCTATTAGTATGAGTTTACTCGTGGTCTCCGCTAGTAGTCGCAGAGAGCCTGACACGGGCTAGCTACAGTAGTAGATAGCATGCGGGAGTCGATAAACGACACGCCCTTCGTTGTGACTTCTTGAGCCTTCAAGATACACAGAGCAAGCGGATCCACTCGGTTCTAATTAGCATATTGGCTTTTTTGCTCGTGTTTCACTCTGTAATTACCTCCCAAACGCAACAGTT